ACTATATGACTTTAAATATATTGTACATCACATCTCTCCCTTGCTTTGTCAACTTTTTTCTAGTATAACTAATCTATTTTGTTAAGTCTATTAAGCTGCTTTCTTGTCCTTGTTGAAAAACACTAGTCATACCCAAAAAGCTTAAAATAAAACAGTAGTGCTCCAGGACAGTCACAGGATCAAAGCTGCTACTTATGCACATACAGAGAAGCTATCCATAGGAAAAATATCCTAACAGATACCTCTGGAGTTATCAAATGGTCTTACATAAGAAGACAAGACCACACTGTGGTTTTGCAAGAGCAAACAGCTAAAGGTTGTAAGAATCTTCTCACTAAATAGGGTAAGAAAATGCTGCAGGTTTATGCTCAGAAATATGGCATAAAAATCACCCAGGAATTAATTTATGTCATGGAAGACAAAAAACTATAGGAAAAATAACTGAAGGACAATAACAGAATCATTGGTACTGTTCCTTGCACTGTTCTGTGATTGGGATGTTGTCAGGGTCCGATTGGAGAAAACCCCAGTGCCAGACCCTGTTTCAGTTTGTGATCCCAAGAGTGAAATTAAGATGCAAACGAGGTCAAGTACCATAATCCATTAGTAAGTTCCTTACAAATTACAAAAGGAATTATAAAAAAGGTAAATTATTGTAATAAAGGGGACAGTGATAGGACAGATTGGAAAAAAGGTAGAAAATGAAGCAAGGATTTGGGGTGCAGAGAGAGAGAGTCACCATCATGGATCCAGCGGTGTCCCGGGGATCCATTGCTGTCGTCATCAGTGGTGAGAGTTCTTCAGGGTTCATAGTCGGTATTGGAGCAGAGTGTCCCCCAAGAGTCCATTGGAGGTGGGTGTCCTTGTGAAGGCGTCCTTCTGAGTTGTCCCCTTGAAGGTACCCCATAGAGTGTGTCTTGTGGAGTTGCCCTCATGGCGATGTCTCATAGAGGGTGCCCCTCAGGGTCCGTAGTAGTCATCGGTGGAGACTGTCCTCACGGAGCTGTCCTCCTGGAGTCTTCCTGATGGCAATGGCTCCCTGGCAATGTGTCTCTTGGTGATTACCTTTTCCTCCTTTTATAAAGAGTTGGGGGGGGGTTACCTCTGTGTCCTGGGTTCAGCAGTAGCAGTCATTTTTCTCCTTCTTGGTAGCTGGTGCAGTGTTGTGATTTGACTTTCAGTCTGGGAACAGAGCTGATAACAATGATGTTTTGGTTTGGCCACGGACTTTGTGAGCCTCATGCTCTGCCAGGGAGGAGGGGAGGCCAGAAGGAAGCAGAGACAGGACACCTGACCCAAACTGACCAAAGAGGTACTCCATACCACAGCACGTCATGCCCAGGAGGTAATTGAGAGTTACCCGGAAGATTCCCCCACTCACTTCAGTAGGGACACAGCAATCTCTGTTGGCAGGGCTCTTGAACATTGAGCACTACCTGTTCCAATCCCACTCTTCCATTTCCAATCAGATTGCAATTACAGGAAGCTGACGCAACTTGAGCCCTCTCACAGGGCTTGCTAGAGCTTGGATTCTGCACAATGGACCCCACTAGTAATCCTAGAAAGGCAGAGAAAGAGCACAGATTGCTTTGCCCCTATCCAAACAGGCCATTTGCAAAGACATTTCAGCTAGCTTAGCTAGCTCCAAGGGCAAGCAGAGCACAAGCAGGTCTATCTGAATCTTTCTGTATAGACATGCCACAATAACCTTCCGTTTCCTGAAACATAAACCACTACAGAATTACAGAAGTACGGCTTCGGTAATCCCTCTTTGACAATCTGGGCAACACCTAGCATTCAGCCTAGAAGCATCATGTCAGCTGCTAAATCTAAGATCGGCAACGCTACTTAAGAACTAAACAGATAAAATCACTACTTAAATATTGCTGTAGCATGTGAAAAGGAACACAATGTGATGTGTTCTTTCCTCTGACATTACTCCCTAAATTGAAATATCAGCAATTTAAAATGGAAAGCATTTCTGTTTCAGAAACAGATTCAAAATTCAGTAACACAGAACCTACATGTAATGTTCACGTATATGTAAAAATGATAGCTCTCTGGATAAATAACATTTGCTATTCCCTTCACAATACCATAATCTTCTTTTAACTAATGGGATTATAAACTAGAAGGAGTATTATACAGTTAGCATATAAACATTTCTCAGACGTATGAACTAATAATCTTAGAAAAACATGTACTTACCCAGCATCTTGGCCATCACAAGCAGCAATTTCTTTAGTGTATATTTCTAACAAAAGGTGTGGGAACAAAATCGAAGTTAACCAACTAACAACTCACCAAATTACCACTCCTCAGATGATAGTGTGCTGGTTACTTGATTTCAATTTGTAATTTTCTATCACCCTAAAATTGCACATTCATTTATTCACATTATGAATTTAGCAGACCTGATAACTAGAGAGCCAGCCTAAAACTAATGATTACAGAAACAAATGTCCTTGAAGTGAAATATTCTTGCTTGTGTTTACAATGTTCCCTGTTAAACTCCCCCCTCATTCCCACCCCCCAATCAATCCCATCACTTTCACTGCTACAGCTGTTTATCTCATTGTGGAACAAATTGATATGGATTAACACCAATGTTGTAAAACACTGCTGGGTTGGGTTGTTTTTTTTTTCCTTTGAATCAGAATGATTTCCCTAATTTATGTTGTCACATATGAGGAGGCTGAATGGGCCACAGCAAGGAACTAGGGGATGGAAGAAACAGCATGCACTTGCTGCTTGTGAAACTATGGGTTTAGTGAATGTGTCTGATTTCTTCAAACCATGAAGCAGACCACTGCAGCTGAGAGATTAGATAGTTTCTGTACTGTCCTTTGCAAGCGGACAAATTTAGTTTTATTTAATTTGCATAAATTAGTACTTAGAAAGGCCAGACCCTCAGCAGGGATGTAACAAATTGTAATCAGCTTTTGTCTGGTGTCTCTGGAATTAGTGATTTATAGCAAGTGAGAATCTTCTCCAAGAAGACAGACTGTGTTGACACTAAATGACACAAAGGACCATTATCAAATCATCACAGAGTTCATATTAGTAAAGAGGAAGATGTCTGCTTCCTTGACCTCTTTATATATTTAATTGAGCTGTGTTCTAATTCAAACAAAGCTATTATTACAGGAGATGTCCACGGAAAATACATGGATCACTTTGTAACTTCAGTGTGACTGGAAATTCATTAACAAATTAAGGTATTGCAGACTGGAGGGAAACTGGAACAGATGGCCTGTCTGCAGGACCACAGGAAGGTATGAGATACTTAAAGGGCTCATTTGTAAAAGCCATTTTGAAAAGTACCCAGTCTGCAGGACAACTAATAAGCCAGTGAGAACTTCTCTTCGTGATGAAATACTTTTAACTGCATGTCCTTGCCTGGTTCTCTTTTAGGGACTGATTTCCATAAAAGTCAGACTGGCCACAACAGAACAGTCATAACAAAGTGAGACTGGCTGTTCTGGGCAGGTGATAGTAAATACAGTGCTAGTGTTAGTCATTTTCCCCAAAAGTGATATGTGAAACTCAACAAAGCAATTTCTCTGTTGTTATTCTGGTGTAGAGGCACACATCACTAACTAGTGAATGCAGGAAAAGGGCAGTGAGCCGGGGGACACTACTCACAGAATATTTTAGCCTCACAGTAAACTAGGTAATGTATTCAAGGTGAGTTTGCACGGTTGCCTATTAAAAATATTAGTATTTTCCCTGTAACATGACAATACTTGGTCTGAGATCACTGGCAGAAAACGTGTATGGAGCCTCACTATGACATCTTAATAGTCCCTTTCAACAATACAGACATCCCTTATGTAAGTTTAACAAAATGTGACCATTTGACAGACAGGACTCAGGACCGGCTACACTGGGGTAGAAATCTGAATTTTGAAAAACCACAGTGGTATGTTAAATGGTAAAGAAAGGTGGAGTTACTCATGGCTTAACAAAACTCACAGTACTAGCTTTCTTGGACCACAGATCAATAAACAAGTACATATGCAGCTCACTGGGTAAAACCTAATTCAGAGAAAAGCAATTATGACTGAAACACTTTAAAACTCAGGAACATGTTCATTAACCAAGAATTAACCATTCTAAGAATGTCTCCGCTATGAATTACCAGAAGACCAGCTTGCACCCCAAGCCTGTCAGTTTGAGAGCTGACATAAAATACAAAACACCTGAACTTTTCCAAAATCAGGCTTCTCAACCTTGTTTCAAATTGTGGAACAGCTCAGCCCTTTCTAAAATGCCACTGAATCAAACCCAGTGAAACTTCTAAAAAGACATTGAGACAGTAACCTTCACCATCACTTCCTATGTTTTGCTTTCCTTTTTATGTCTTAAGAAGGCTTAATCTCACTGTCTGGCTGAATGTTAATCCTCTTTCACCAAGTACCAAGTTAATGCTCCCCACATTAATACACTGGAAATCCTCCAGGTATAAGTTACACATGATTTAGTATAAAAGGTGAGCGTAGAGCTTTCTTTTCACTACAGCTATTACCAGGAAGGCAAGCAGAACACAGGTGAGTTTTCCTCAGCTCCTGCTAGAAATCTTTTTTCAAATTGCAAACACTGAATGCAATGGATTGCTTCTGAAAAATAGATTTGCTTTTCCTTTTTTATTTTTTCTCTTGCTGTTTTTTCTTTCTCCTTATAGACAAGACATTTTCTGTATGGAAAAATAGATAAAAATATTTCACTGAAAGTGGTATGGTACTTTGCCATTATTATTCTGCAAAGTTTGCCAACACGTTGTTTCAGATGCTTAGGAAAATCAAACTTCTTTAACAAGAAGCATAAGAATAAAATTATTTAATGGCTTTATCCTTTGTTCTCACAGATGTTTCTGAAAGCTATTATAGAACCACTTGAGATAATGTGACGATTCAATTTCTGTCTGTTTCTGTAAATATTTCCTGTTGAAAATAACTATATATGTTTCTCCAGTATATATTTCTTGCTTCATTCACAGGATGAAGACAATTCATTGTTACGTGCTGTTAGTTTGCTGGAGAGCACTTTGTTGCTATAGCTGTCAGCTCACCAATATTACCATAGCAGTGGAAAAAGAAGAATGTGAATTCTGTATCACAGTGAATGCCACGTGGTGCTCAGGATACTGCTTCACAAGGGTAAGAATCTTAATTTCAGGCACCAGATTTAAATATTCCAAGTGATTTATGAATAGCCCATTTCTCCAATTCATAATGAACAGAGGCAGGATGAGCCTTGTGAAAGAACAAGCTGAGTAACTGCTGTGCTATCCGACACGAGAGTAGATACAGAGCAAATCTGAACCACAAAGGGAAGGGTGAAAAGATGTACTAAAATTCAGATCTTTAACTAGCTGAGTTTATATTGCATAACTAGAGTTTAAAGTATTACAATCTGGATCTCTGCCTTATGTAAAATCTGTGGTTACAAATGAATACAACAAAGCAGCCATTACTATGGAGACTCTTCTACTTTTCCAAATAATTTGAAGACTCCAGCAACTGACCTGCAAGATTGTCTGCTGATGATATGACAGAAATTTGCCATATTGGTGCTCCTAAATGAAGAAATCCAAGGATCCAGGTGAAATTAGAAGGGTCTGATCCAAATCCCCACGAATTTTCACAAGGTCCTTTATTTCATAAAAATTGTAAATTCTATCCCATAACAAATCCCATAACAAATTCTATCCCATAACAAATTTCACAATAGATATTTCCTTCTTGTAATTTTCAGGATCCAGTGTATAAATACCCACCAGTATCATCTGTTCAGCAAACATGTACCTTCAAAGAAGTTGTGTATGAAACTGTGAAGATCCCTGGCTGTGGCGACCACCCCGAATCTTTTTATTCGTATCCAGTAGCTACAGAATGCCATTGTAACACCTGTGACACTGACAGCACTGACTGCACTGTGAGGGGCCTGGGGCCATCCTACTGTTCCTTCAGTCAGAATGGGAGTAACCAGTGAAGGATGCACAAGATGGCAGTTTGGCTCTAAACATTCACTTCGAAATAAAGGTACTGATGGGGCTTAAGTGGAATATTATAGGCAAGGCTATTTAAAACCTGCCAAGTTTGAAACAAATAATTTTTAAGGCCAAAATGAAGAGCTACTGACAAAACTACTTTTCAGGCCTTCCCTACTTAACCCATCAGTTTGCCTAAAATCTTTTTCATAGGTCTATAGACGCTGCTTCTGATACCTTCAGCCCTTGACTCTTCTTCTCTGTTACACCTCTAATCTTCATATTCATGCATTTCTGCTGTGTAGTTCCAATGAGATTTTTTAACACTATTTAACACAGGAGTCTCACAAATTATTTAGGGATGAATATAGAGGCAGCTGATCCCAGTAGCACAAACATGGTGTGACAACACGCCCTGAAAGTAATTCACAGTAGTCCCTTCTGAGAATGGAAGTTCAGAGAGTTCTGCAGCAACCTAAGTCTGCAATAGGAAATACGAAGTTGAGATGATCTGGAAGCAAGCTGGAGGACTGACTGAATCAGAATGGAAAATTATTTAATATTATTGGGAAAATTATCTGAAACCTACTGAATGAAATCCTATCGCAAAAATTAAAATATACTGCTCTTCATCAGAAAAATCACAGGAGAGCAACTGGTTCAGCAGCAGTTCAGAACTGAAGACCTAGAGGTTGCAGAAGCTAAGAATGAGTCAACATTATCCTACTGCTGTGGAAAAGTGGGAATGTAAGGAGTAGAGCCTACAAGATACAAACTACTTCCACATTTCAGTTCAACGTAAGGGCCACAGCTGAGTTGTAATTTCCAGCTTTGGACACAGGTGTTGAACAAACTGGAGAAAACCCATAGAAGAGTAATAATAATCGAAAGGGGCTTAAAAATAATCTTAGGACAAAAATATTTAAATAAATGTGGTTGTTCTGCTTATGGAAGGTAACAGAGAAGGAAATTAGTGGAACCTTTTTACGTTTGAAGACTGTTACAAAGAGAAAAAGAACAGTCAGTTCTCCATGTTCATAATGAACGGAACAACTAATGAAAGATCCAGAGCTGTCACTAACAAATCTTCCAAAAGGCACAGACAGCTAGACACTGAAATAAATTGTGGAGGTTTGAGGAAGGAAGGAAAGAAGGGAGTGGGGTCTGTAGAGTAGTGACCACTATAGGTCTTCAAGAACACACTGAAACTGTTAGGAATGACAGAGATAAAGTTAATTTGCCATGAGGCAAAGGAATGAAGTAGACGACCTCTTGAGGTCACCTGGCATGTCTGCTTTTGAGACCCTCACAGATATGTTTATTTAAAGGGAATTTGTTACTCTGGATCTCTCATATAATAGATATTTTAACTTATTTAGTTTTTAGCTTTTTTACTGGAAGATATTAGTTCTATTGATTTTATTTATAAGATTAATCTGCATGGACACTTTATTTGGTATAGTGAATTTTTAAAAGTGATGAAGTAATAAGTAAATCAAATTGCCTCTCATTTCAGTTTTAAACAGTTTAAACTTGAGTTAAAACTAAACATATTATTCATATCAGGTATTATTCTATTCTGAATGAGAGAATTTTGAAATTAAATTGCAAAACAGAGTAACCTGTAGCAAAAAAGTATGGAAAAAATGTTCTATTCAAAACAGATCTGTAAACACCTGTATTGTCTGTTGTGCATTTTGGAACAATAAAAATAATTTTGCTGCACTCCTGTTATGTATGTCTTAATAAGTCAGTTAAAACTCTTAAGAGTACACCTGCCCACTTTATTATGCTTTAAATCACACGTTTTCTTCCCTTCTCATATTTTTTTCATGTAATTAATACACCCACCTCAGCCATATTTGCATTATATGGCTAAATCACATCAAATAAAAGACTGATATTTTAGCCTGATCCAGTAATGTGATGATGAAAGATGACATAGTTGTAACACAACAGAATTGTGGATGTGAATAAAAATTATCATCAATATTTTATTTAAACTATAGGGAATAGAACTTCTCCAGAGCTGTGTCCACATCTGTCACAAATTAGCCTGCACATGAAAACAAAAATGATACAGCTCATTTAATTCATCAAATGCACCACTTATTTCATTTTGCAAACAAATCTATTCATAACCTTAAATCTAACACTGTAAATAATGCAGTCACAGAGTACTGAGGTTAATATCAGAATACTAGCCAAAAAAAAAAATCCTAATGATGCATCACTAGAAGTTTCCAGACTCTCACTTTGTGTCTCTTGCACATCTTGGGTACCAATGCTGAGGTAAATACCAGGTTCTAAAGGCTTTAAGATGCAAAAGAAAAGGTGCCCTCCATGTAAGCGCTAACCTGTGCCAAGCAAATAACAGGGAAGACAAGAGGGAATACCTCTTTTGAGCACTTTCTTAACCCCTGTCCAGTACCCAGTACCTGAATCACTTTTACAAATCTGTCTTTTTGAAAAATAGGCACATCTTGGATCAAAAGCTTTCTGGATTTCAATAGATCAATGGAGAACAGCAAGCAAATAACTTACAGAATGTATCTTCTTTTCCTAATCGTAAGTGACCACACAAAAGACTCAGGAAATATGTAACTCCCACATCAAGTCTTCATGTTAACATCAGTCAGCTTTGAATGTATACTGCCATTTATATACAATTAGTGTTGATATTTACTTTGAAGTAAAATCCATTACAAATCATGTCAGCAATTATTTGTGGTTCTACAGACTGATGTCAAATATTTCATTATCAGTAGTTTCACTGACAGAAATGCTTACAGAAGGCAGGCCTGACTTGGAGATGTCTTGAACTACCTTTGAGAATGTGTATAGACTATATTTACTCAAAGTTCACTTTGTATTCAATGCCCAATAATCACTTAATGAAACTCACTTTTACTTCAATGTTTCTCTAAACATTTAGTGAAGGTACATGCAAGCTGTGAATATCAGTGTAGTCAAAGGTCTAAACCTGCTTTGAATTATGACTTAGGAAAAATATTGAAGAAGTAATTTGTATGCTCTTTGCATAGCTCTGTCATGATGACTAAATGGGAACTGTGTCAAAGGTGAAAGTCTCAGTGTGACATACTACTCTACATACTAAATTGGTGGGTAAGCTTTTAGAAACTTTCCTAATAAAGTCAGAGGCCTACCATGGGCCTAACCCTTTCCACTGAAATGAATAGGTAAAATGCTTTTCAGCTTCAACAGAACTATTCTACCAATGGTGAACTTTTCAAAAACTGCATATTAATTCTAGATTTAAAGGCCAGGTCTGCAAAAAGACCTTACAATATGTCACTTTAGCCACCATGATACAGAAACTAATTTTAGAGGCAGTAAAAACTAAAATGGAATAAACTATCTATTCATTTACTCACATTTAATTAAAATTATCTCTTTTCTTGCAACACCCTAAAAGCATCAAACCTGGAAAACTAATTTATAATCCTCTGGTGAAGGCATAGAGCATAAAGGTGATATATAGTTTGAACTGCCCCTTAAAGACCTTTGAGGGGGACACTTAACACAGGATTCACTGTATTATAATTCATTAATCTTTCAAATGCCCGTATGTATAGATAAACTGCATGAAGATTATTCATCTCTGCCACCACATCTGTGGGTGAATTAATACTATCATTTATTATGCAGACAGTTTGACCTTGATCTTATGAGTGTGCCAGTTGTACTTGAAGCCCTCCAGACGTCAAGATGGTAATATGAAGTGCAGCAGCAGTATTCATAGTCCTACTAAATGGAATTACTATTTAATCCGAACTGCCTTTTTTTCAGTAGAAAGCACACCTTGATTTTACTGACAGGTAAAGAAATACGCTCCTCACCTTGAAGCCGTTAATAAAGCAGCAACATATTAGCATCAGCTAATTGCTGATACTAATAGCTCAGACATCATTCCCTGCCTAAAGTATGTAAATCATTCTTTCTAGCTTAAAACAGGTTTACACTTGCCTTTATTACTGTGGCATATAACAGGGCTCCTAGTATTTTTTACCATAAGAAATATTAACGTCCTCTCCTTGTATCAACCCAACTGATGAATAAGAATTTATTAGTCATCCACAAATCCTTAAACAAATCTAACCCAAGACAGAGGTGGAAACCAGAAATGTTAGGACTCTGGCTTATACATGTCAAGCTCTAAGGCTGCACTTAACTTGGGCTCTTTGAATAGGAAGGGGAAAGACAGCTGAGTGTGGTGTTGATACGCTATAATTCTCCTCCACCCTTCCATCTCAGCAAGTGCATTTTTCTTTGTCAGTATGCAATATGTAGCCACATTTCAGTTTCATTTAAAAAATACAACTAGCATCTTAGATGAAATTACCAAAAAAAAAATAAACCTACCAAAAAAAAAAAAAAAGCTAAGCTGCTAATCTGAAAAATTCACTTGGAGGGCAGCCTTGAGATTAGTGGCTCCTCTCCACTCAGGCAGTGTGATCTATAAAATTCTTCTGCGTATCTCATGTTTCTCTTCAATTTATGTTATTAACATTAGCTATCAAAGCCTTGGTCTTTCAGTGTGACTTATACTGATAGACATTACAGAAGCTCACAAGGCTGGGAAATACAGACAATGAGACAGGAGCTGGGTTCGAGAAAGGCCATACTTTCAAGAAATCAAATGTCAGTGTTTCATTATGTGTAGGTGGGGAAGAGAAAGAATTAACTAGCTATGCTTCGCAATCATTAACCATTAGTTTTCTTTCATGCAGCAACTCTAAGAGGCAAGAGGTGAAGTCTTACCTCAGTGATGACCTCTTAATTCACTGAAAAAATATGGGGGGGGGGTGTGTGTCAGATCTATTACTTGTATAGTTTGACTTTATTCTGTATGAGAAAAGAAGATAAATTCTAGATCTAATATCTTTTGATTACGTTTCATTATAGTTTCATACATTGAATAATGCTATAGACAGAGATTTAGTCAGAATGAGTCTAACCCCTAAATACATCTTTCTTAAGATACCAACATTCAAGACACATAAGATAATCTAGTATTATCCAATGGCTTGTAGACAAAACTTTGAACAGCTTAAGGAATTCAATTTTTCTCTTGCTTCATGTGCTTAAAGTTTCATTCAAAAATTAGCTTTGTTATCTCCTTTTCTCATTATAAAGTATTGGCAAGTCTTGATGCTTTTGTGAACACTGTGGGCATTTCCAGACAAAATAATATGATAATGAAGAAAAACCTTAAGACGTTGGAAAGAAAGCT